TCTTCAAAGGCATTGCCTACTACCCTAAATATACTGAACTACTGAACTATTTTCAGGGAGATTAAAAAAACTTGTCAAAATTCGACACTTTCAGTTTGAAATTACCTTGAAAAAGGTAACATGCACAGATATTTGTCAGCTGCATAGCTAACTGAAGGACTTTTTAAAGGAATAACCTATAACATACTTTTTTTTATTAATTATAGAACTAACAATATTAGGCTTCTGTGTTGGCCGTTCTTTTTGCTCAATAATGTGTTTTTTCGTGTTTCGATGAATTTCTAAATATGGCTCATATGGTCACCATAAGAATATCCAAAAAATCATTGGTTAGTAAATGCTCTTAATAAATATCTTATTTTAAAGGTTTTAATATAGAAGTCGTACAAAATCTGGGTTTATTGACGAACACTTGAAAATGCAGAAAAAGCTGGAAAATATGCCGGAATTTAAAGGACGATCTTAAACTAATTGTCATCCAGTAACGGGGATATGTATACACAAATTTTGATTAACAAAAAGTACTTTGGATATAAAGGAGGCAAGGTTATCCATTGAACTGACGATAAGATTTAAATTTATTAGTGTGATTTATAATTATTTTTAACGTGTGCGGAACTTGTTTATTATTAGGAAAATATTATTTTTCTTAACAAACAAATAGCACTTTTTGTATTTGTTTAAGGTAAAAAATTCGCCTCAGATTGTTATTTCGTACATGCGTTAATGCAGGTTAGTGAGTAATTATCAATCTTTCACAAACTTCGGCATTTTGCATGACTTCCCGCCGTACTGCATATGATACGTAGAGATAAATTACTGAAGAAGACAAGTAAGATTTTAATGGCCACTTCTAGTCCTCATCAGGCAGTCATACACAATTCCGAAAGTGGAGAAAACTGGGGTTCGAATCCGCGATCATTGGAGACGGGATCAGAAGCAGTGGCGGACAAATTTAAAGAGCCCCACATGTACTATGTTTTCATAAAAAGGCAACGCTTGGATGTCACGCGCATGAGTGTCACAGAGGTCCCGTTTAGGAGTCATTGAATCACATTCACAGTCCTCCGGTCAGTCATTCCATATTCACAGTCGGAACTAACCAAGCTGCCCGAGTTTGTAACTTTTCACGACGCGACTGTTAGCGCGCAGTGATATATTCAGGCGATTCAGATTTATGTGTCATGGAGACAAATTCCCCCCC